GGGGCGGGGCCGAAGGAAATTAAAAAGTAAAAAAAAAGTATTTGCGTGAAGTGGGGGAGGGGATAGCCCAAAGAATCAACTTGCCCCGGGCCTCGCAACTTCTTAATCCGGCCCTGGGCCCTTAGATATATGAGGACTACCATACCAATCGTCAGCCTTCGTGGTTCATGGAAAGTTAGCCAAAAACTACTTAAAAATGAATATTTAAAATAGTTCAGTTTCCGATCAAACCTCTGTTAATCATAAACTCTTCACTTTGTGGATCTGAATATATATATATATACACAGTGATTAATAAAATCGGGACCCCCTAAATATTTTATAGCTCTTATATTTATTAGTCCATTTACATGAAATTTTAAATATAACAAGCCTAATGAAGAAGCTATGTATTTCCGAAATTTGTTTTAAAATTTAAGTTCTCTTTTAGTCGATGATGATGATGTCATTATAAATTTGTTGCAGCATACCCTGAAAAATGGCGTTCAGTGAAGACAAGCATGTTATCAAATGTGTAACCATTATAGTGCCAGAGCCGATTAGAGCAACGCTACGAATTTAATTGAAAAAGGCCAGCGTCGAAGAGCTGACGATTAAAAGGTTAAGAAAAGTTTCTAGTCCGAGCGTTCGATCATGTTCCTTCTCGAACTTCTGACATTTTAGTGCCAGCTCTTCGACTCGAGCATTTTGAAGCGATATTTGTAGCGTCGCTGTAAGCGATTCCATTACGCTATATTAGTTCTGAATGTATCATTCGAAAGTGTATTCCATAATGCCAACACGCATTACTGAAGGTGAAGTGGGACGTCACGGCATGGCTAACACAAGCATCCGACTCGCCAAATGCTTAGAGGTTTGCAAGGTGTGACTGTGACATTTCCTGCCGGCTTGAAAGTACTAACGTTCATGAAGTGCACATATACAACCTCTGTCTCAAAAGTTCCAGGACTGACTGCATAAAAATTAATTCAAGATACTTACGGAACTATTTTTGTTTTCAAAGTAGTCTCCCTCTGCAGTGATACACCGTTGCCAGAGTCGCTGAAGGTCGTTGAAGCAGCTCTGGAAAGCACTTTCTGGAATACTCGTGATCAGCTCTGTCACGGACGTTTGAGTGGCTTCAATGTCCGAGTGGCGATGGCCTTTCATTGCGCGTTTGAGCCGTGGGAACAAAAAAAAGTTAGGCGGGAACAGATCTGGTGAATTCGAAACATATAGTAAAACTGATTTTTTCTTATGCCAAAAATTGTTGGATGGACACCGATGTATGTGGCCGCGCATTATCGTGCTGGAGGAACCACTTTCCTGATGCCCACAACTCAAGGCGCCAAAAGTGAAGACGATGTTGACTGCGTTTTTTTATTGTAAAGGTATCGTGCACAAGGAATTTGTTTCTGCGGGACAAACTGTTAACCAACATTTCTACAAGAGTGTTTTGGAACGTCTACGCATGAGTATTCGTCTTCGCCGCCCTCAGTTGTGGACATCAGGAAAGTGGTTCCTCCTGCACGATAATTCGCGGCCACATACAGCGGTGTCCATCAAACAATTTTTGGCAGAAAAAAATCGCTGTTTTACCACATGCTCCGTATTCTCGATAAGCCCCCGCCGGAATTTTTTTTTGTTCCCATGGCTCAAACGCGCAATGAAAGGCCATCGCCACTCGGACATTCAAACGGCCGTGACGGAGCTGATCACGAGTATTCCAGAAAGTGCTTTCCAGAGCCGCTTCAACGACCTTCAGCAACGCTGGCAACGGTGTATCAATGCAGAGGGAGACTACTTTGAAGGAAACAAACGCCAATAGTTCGTAGGTATCTTGTATTAATTTTTATGCAGTCAGTCCTGGAACTTTTGAGACAGAGGTTGTAGCTTTGAAGGAGTGGAGTATAGACTGGATGGTGTTGGTGTATCCAGGGTCGCCCAGAGGTTTCCAGGGGCCCGGGGCAAAACTAAACCGTAGACCCCTTGAAGGCCCGGCAGACGATGGATATGGTCATCAAGTTAGATAATTTACTGTAGACTGTCTGAAACATTGATTCACGAGCGACGTCCTCAATCATCAACATCGCACAAAGGTGTTTCACGCTAGCGTGTCATGCTTCCTTCGCGTGGATGCTTGGGCAGGTAGGGCTGACTCATGCGTGCACATGCCTGTCATCTCGCATCCAAGGGTTTTCGCAAAACACAGGGCCTGCGTATGGAATTGAGATGAGTTCTTCAGAAAACGCAAGCCTTGTGTTTCTAAAAACATTGGATGTAAGTGGACATGCGTGTGCACGCGTGCGTCTGCCTACCTGCTAAAGCATCCATGCAAAGGGCGCATGACACGTTAAGTGTGAAACGTCCATAGGTCAACAAGATTCAGAGAGTGCTCATTACATCTCATCTAAGTAAGACGATAGGTGGTAACTGAAAACGACAGAGAATAAAGGTGGAGTCTGATCATTGAAAGGACGAGAGGCGACTGGTGTGAAGTAAATCGGGTGAGGGAACTGTGAAGGGGAAACTGGGTCACGGCATGTCTGGCATGCCTGAGGATTTCGGTGACCGCCCGGGTGTTTTAAGCCGTTCTGGGTGAAAAATAAAAGTTTGAAATTATTATACAGCTCGATGAAGCATTAGCACAATCACGTTTAGCAATGCGCTCTCTGGTTTGCGACTCGAAAGAAATCCAAACCGTCCCAGCCTTCTTACAGATACCTTGCCCGAATTTTATCGGGGTAGTTCAACTCCTGTTTCTCGTTGCCATGTTTCAGGATCTTTTCAATTATCATATTTGCAGAAGACATGTTGCTGCACTTGAATCCATTACACTGGCGTAGCAGCCCCAATACTTACATCATTCTTATTCATTAAAGTCCTTCGAGAAACCGTTTATGGAAGGGACAAATTCTGTTTCTAGAAATAGCCATGACGTATGAATGCGCCATGCCGACCTCGGAGGGTTAAGGCAGTTTGGAGGCAAGCGACGGAGTTGTAAGGTTAGAAAAGTAACAGTCGATCCGAACTCCAGGAATAGATCTGACTTGTCAGCGGTCATGTAGTTGTGAGTGACAACAGGGGCCGCAGGGTCCCGTGTATTAATCTTTGTGATGTGAGATGCATGCGTAGCAACTGGAGAACCCACTTTTTTCTTCAACAGGGGCGGAACTAGCTACGTCGAGTTGTCAAGAGATCAATCCAAGTCCTCTACCCCGTAAAGATTACGACTCCTGAATACTGCCAACGTTCTATAGCTTGCCTACACTAATTCATCATGATAACGAGCAGTGCTAGTTCTATTCATTCCATTCCATTCTATCATTGGCCTGTGTAGGCGTCGGGCGATTCGGACGAGGGAGAATATCTAGACTTCGAGAAACGGATTTTTGGGAGAGGGGGTTTGCATACAGGCTGAAGCCTGGGGGAGAGAAGGAAATCGCCCAGGGGGTGGTTAAAAAACGAACCCGTTCACCTCAATCGTTTGGATAGAGGACGCCACTGCTTTTACGCAGCGATGAAGAGCGCGATAGCCTTGTTAGGAGGAAGTCAGACTGGATGCGAAGGGAGGATGGCTGGAGGGAGGAACACGCGGGTTCTGCGTGAACCTACACATCTCGCTCTCCCTGTCTCCTGTATCTTCTCGTGCCTTCCACCCTCGCCTGCATTCTAATTGCAAAGTACACCCAAGGGTCTTTTCTTTCCCTTTCTGTGACCTTGTGCATCACCACGGATTCGCGTGTCTGACCTGCCCGTATATGTAGTCTCCACTGCCTAGACGCGACGGAACGCGTAAATTCAAACCTGTGTTTCACTTTCACCTTAGTGAACACTTATCGGCTATGATTGTGGAGAGGACTCGTATTATTTTACGAGTGGTCTTTCAAGATAACGTGCGTCGACTAGGTACCGTGCGTAAGGCGAGGAAGTGAATGAGTGTATGTCCTTGATCGGTCATGACGCGCAGTAACGACATACTCCGTTGGAGTCTTTGGTTATCCCTCTAGCATGTGTACTTTAGTGGAGGTTCTTCACTTACGAGCGTTGTGTCAAGTGACGACTTTCCTTGCTGAGTGTCTCAAGTTACACCATTTTCCATTGTCTTCTAGGATCCCCCAGATGAGAGCGGAAATCAACCTGCAGCCGCATTGCAATCTGCCACCGAAGATGACATAAAAGCAGTGCACACTTTGCTCTCCTTGAAAAGTCGTGTGTTGAGGAGCTCTGGCGAAGCTTGGGAAGAGGCGCGGAAATCGAGCAACCTCTTCAAACGGGAACTTCTGACATTGCCTCCGAGGAAACGACTGGTATGGGAGACATTCCATCCTCCGAAGCCAACTTTATCCTCTTGTCTCTCACCTCCCCACACCGAATCTGAAAGTGAAGATGCATCCGAGATTTCTGTGCTCCCCCCGCCTGGGAAATATTTGCACGTGAGTGAGGTTTCCTTTCGACCCTGGTCGGCAGGTCGGATAAGTGGAATCTCATGAGCGTCCGAAGCCGATTATGCGCTTTCTCCCCCTTCCAATTTAGTTGCTGCATGGGAATACGCCGTCTCGCTGTCCAAATCCTTATTTGACTGCCGTTGCTGTGTCTGTGATAAAAAAAGCAGGGAAATCAGCGGAAGACCCTCCGGGCTCCAGGGACAGTCGCCCTACGAATCAGGGAATGGAAAGAATCCTTACGCATCACCTGGATGAAAATGCGTGTGATTTCTTCTCACTCCTCGAAGTCCGTGCCCCACCGACCCCTGGCCAAGAGCCAAATCCGCAGCACAGCGATCCGACTCATCTCTTCTCTGATTTATCTTTGGGGAGCTTGAGCTTCCCTAGTTTCTCCCCCTTCTCGGATGTCAGTGGAGACAAGAGGACGTTATGCCTCCAAGGAGACGATGATCAGCAACATATCTTACCAGGAGACTTGAAAAGCCTCCTCCACGAAGATTTGACGGCCCGAGGCCTAATCAATCATCACCACAACCTACAACAGGCTTGTGCGACGTCGGAATTGCACCTTGCTGGAGAAGGGAATCGTCAGGTGCCAACAGAACTGGGGTTTCCTGACATGAGTGCTACTTGGCTCAACAGTTTGGATGCAATCCTTAAGAACGATGACGACTCACGGATGTCAGACCTAAAGCAGTGCATGCATCAATTACCGGGGATGCAGCATTTGGACGGGCATCAGCGGGATGAGAAGCCAGTCCAGGTTCCAAAATCGGGGATGGGGACCCAGTTCATTCCGGTCTTAACAATCCCTATCGCAAGTTCGAATGTTCCTACGACCATGATCTTCCCACCGACGACGACAACGGCAAACCCTATAACGTCTCCCAGTGCGCAGCGGATATTGCCCAGCAGCGGAACGAAGAACGGAAGCTTATCACAATTCGTGTTTGTCCCAGTAATACCTCGAGGAGAGAGTGGAAATGGGAGAGAAACCAAGGTCATTCAGCTCATCGCTGCCCCGAACCCACATTCCATGAATGCTCTCCCAAAGGAGGAACGGAAACGTATGTTCGAATGTACGTTCGACGGTTGCAGTAAAACCTACTTGAAGTCGTCGCATCTCAAGGCCCACTACCGCACTCATACAGGTACCACATTCAGTCTTAAATCATGCTTGTACCAGTGGTGCCCACTAGGTCTAGAAATGGCTTCAGGGAATGGAGCCACTGCTATTTCAGAAATTCTACAGTAGAATGACTTGACCCTGTGGTGGTTCTTCCGTTTGTTGACTCTGGCGGAAAGGGTCCGAGGGAATGAAGTAGCACGAAAATATTTGACGACAGAGGACGCGCAAAAGTTTTTTGTGCCGATAGCAGTGAAGGAGAGCTTTCAAGTGTCCCACTGATTTGCACTCGAAGCAGGCAACTTTTGCTCCCTTCTTACATCCTCGATGCAAAAGTTAAGTCATGATGTTTAGGGATCACGTAACTCTGGATTCCCGAAGTTCATCAGGAAGGAGTCCTCTGTGTTCAAAACTTTTAAGGAAGAACCTAATTTATAGTTAAGATCAGTGTTCATTTGGCCCAATATTGAGTTACTCAAGCCTAACAGTAAGGAAGACGTAAGGGCCAAGGTACCCATCAATAACTCCTTACTTCTGATTCTAACTGGAACTATTAGAATATTTCTGGCTGATTCCAAACTGGCACTGGCTGGAACTGACGGTATCCAGTTATTTATCTCTTTTTTTTGATGTATCAATAGTAATGTGAAATGAGGGTTCTCGAATGATTTGTGATGTCTGAAGGGATTGGATTCAAGCATGTGGAATTGTTCTGAACCAACTGGTTCAGAACAGTTTCATGAAATACTATTAAGGAATGACGATTTTTCTGCAGGAAGATGGCAAAGTTGTGGCTAGATTAGCTTATATATTAAGGGGTTGACTGCATAGGTGGCGATTTGTTGAGAAATTTTGGGGGGGGGCTCAGAGACAAAATTTGAGGGAGTCTCAAAGACAGTACTCCAAGTATTCCTTATTCTCGTCTTTGCTGTGAGCTGCTTCTGCCAAATTGCTTTTTTAAAATTATTATTATTTATTTTTTTTTTGGGGGGGGGGGGGGGAGGGGGGCCCAAGGGCCCAATGGCCGCCTATGGTTTTCTCCCAGGAATAAGTACCTGCCTCTTCAACTAGAACGAGCTTCATACCACAATTAAGATTTTTTAAATTATTAGTTGAATGGTAATGCTGGAGGAAGTACATTTTCTTCAGGAAGTTTCTGATATTGTAATATTGCAATTATGCTCTTGGACTGTTTCTCCATAGAGCTCCTAGATTAAGTGTAGCCAACAACAAACCGGTTGATTCAATAATTTCTCATTCTGTGTAGGTGAGAAGCCATTCCTTTGCTCATGGCCAGGGTGTGAAAGGCGATTCTCACGCTCTGATGAACTGTCTCGACATAAGAGGACACACACAGGTGAAAAGAAGTTTGTCTGTCCCGCCTGCCAACGTCGGTTCATGCGGTCAGACCACTTGACCAAGCATATAAAGCGGCACGCTAAAGAGCGGAGGAAAATGGCTTGGCAAAGAGAAGCGAAGAAGTTGCTTGCTCCCACACCACCAGTCCCACCATTATCTGTGGCTCCTGCTCCTTCCTCCCTGGTTCTCCCATCCACAGTTGGAATTGTTGTGCAAGCCTGCCCCTCAAAGGCTTAACCCCTGTACCAGACACCATGGTCACTGGTGTTCCTTTTTTTTTTCCTGTGATACATTTTTTGGGGGGATCTTCTCTTTTCCACAGGCTCATGCAGTCAGTCATGTCAATTCAGTGTACAGTATTTTGTGCAAGTCTATTATCTCATTCAGGGCAGACCATAATATGAAAAGTACAACTTCTTCCTCTTAGGAAGTTCCTCCACTCCCTCATTTGTGTGTGCAATATATGAGAGATTGAAAAGTATTTGATTATGAATATATTTTCAAGGTATTGGTGATGTGCATTCAAGAAGTGCAATTCCTGGCTCAATGTGTTGCCATTCACATGTGATTGAAAAAAATATTTGCTCATGAATTTTGCTCCCCTTAATCAACCAGTGCTACTTCATTTGGCAGTTGTTTCTCTCTACTGCCCTCTTACGCTTATTTGAGAGGGGACATCATGTAGCGGGGAATAAAATCTGATTAGGTAGGTACCTTCTCTTTTACTTAGTCACCCACAATGCAACATCATGACCCACATCACCAGCATTGCAGGGACCACTCTGTGGCGAGTGTTCCAGAATGTGCAGAAACGTGTGTGCTGATAACACGGGTAGACACTTTCAGTACTGTAACATCACTGAACTTCCAATCTTCCAGTGTCAAACATAAACATGATTTTCCAAAAATTGGAAATGCATCTGGAATGGGTTGAGTGTTTATTTGTGACTAATTTTCTATATCATATGATTTTTTGTGCATTCAAAAAGTGTTACTCCAGCTTCCAAACGACTCGTCACTGTTCCTTCCCGTATCCATTTATGATACATTTTTAGGTTCTGGGTCACATGACTTTTGGGATACCCTGCATTCATCTGCCACACTCAGAATTTGAACATGGGAAATGCAAAAAAAACAGCAACAGAGTGATAGAAACACATTGAAAGTGGCATGATCCTCACAGATGCCTCCAAGGTATTGATTTTTCATTGAAGATGGCTGACCTGATGCCTCATCAATTCCACTGATTCTCTCTTGGGGGTGAGGAGGTCATAGGGGGAGAATTTCATTAAAATCTTTGCTGAATCCCTTGGTGGTGGCATGATCACCTCTTGAGCCTCCAGGTATTCAGTTTCTTTTTCTGCAGGTTTGCTTTTCTCATGTATCTCAGGAACTGCTGGCATGTAATAATATATAGTATCAGCCTTCACTTATTACCCAAAAATCTGTAAATGAAAATAATGTGAACACTCACTACTGATTGCCTTGAAAAACATGCTAATTTGCTTGTCTTTCATCTTCTGAACACACAGATGCTGCTTCTCTTCCTGACACAATTGCAATCTCACAGCTTCCTTGGATATTGTTCCTCTTTCATCTGCAATGTCCATTCAAAAATTCTTGATGACTGCAAAATTACACTTCAGAATCCAATCTTAAGTGAGCAAGTAGAAGATAATAGACCTCTAATTGCCTTGGATTGTGAAAGCAGTCTTGCCAATTCCACTTCTTCAGCAGCCCTTCGCCTTTTCATTTGCTCCTCTCTGGGAAGAATTTGGTCCAAGCAATCCCAGTGAGATGGATGACATTTCTTAAGTAGGAAATGTGCATCATTTCCCACGACAACAACTTCAGATTCATCCACATCAATTTTCTCAGGAAGGAAGGCTTCAAAAAGGAATGGAGGGCTGTTCATCTGTGAATCAGAATAAATCTATGTTACCTAAGGGTTTTTAGGCCTATTTTCAATAGAAGACTTCCTCATACCTTGATGTATTCAGAGCTGTACAGGATGTTTCTCCTACTGACTGGTCCTGAACAGATCCTCACAATCACTTTCACATGAGTGTCAGTCTGCATCCATTGTGATGCTTTGACCAGGATGGGCATTCTGTGCCCCTCACTTTCAATCAGCAGTTGTAAGATTTTTTAACAAGACCAAATTGGCTTCTAGTGTTACTGTCTCTGTGAGGATAGTATAGGGTATTGTCAGAAACAGATTTGACAAGAGCTACTGAAGAAACTCCCATGATCTCTAACGAGTAAAAGTGACCACATTGCTTGTGCATATATGGTAATGAGGATTTCTAATTTGAACAATGTCATTTTTAAGAGGCTACCCTACTTCCTTTGGTCATAATTATGGAACTGTTGGAAGCAGCTGATAATTGAAAGGTTGAAGGTTTTTTTTGCATATTAACCAAAAGTCAATGTACAAGGGGGGGTGCAAAAGTAGTGACAATTCTGCTCTATGGTGGTGAACACATGTAATACAGCACAGGGAAATGTACTGTGGCTCATGCGATACTTAAAAGGGTTTTAGATTATGAGGCCAAACCACTTACTACCACATGTCACTTTTCCACATAGTCTAAAATTATTATCAATCATTAATCTGAAATTGCCACTAATTTTGCACCCCAAGCCCCTTGTATGTTGACAGGGTTTGCTAAGGTCACACATGCAAAGAAGAAAGGGTATGAATTATAAAATGATAAAAATAGAATAGCAAATGTTTAATAAGGCATGTTGCCTTATTAAACACTTGTTGTTTCAAAGTGTCACGAATGTCATGTAATTCTCATCTATCAACACTTCTTAAATGTTTTCCTTAGTACATGTGACCACAGCACCTCTCATTGACATGCACTACTGTCTGACAAGCACAGTAGAAGACCTTTAGCTCTCAACAGTCCTTTGAAGTTATGACCAAAGTTGGGTGGTTGTATACCTGCCATGAAATGGCAAGCTCATGATGAAATAGTTATTCAGGAGAGGGCAAAAACCTTTTAGCCTACTGTGGTATTTCTGCTCGAGTGGTTGAAGCAATTGAAGGTCTAGTGAAATGAAGATGTTCAGTATAATGAAAGGTGCCCTTCTCTCTTAATTTACACATGAAAGTCACAAATGCAGACTGATAACTGACTGTGCAAAGCAAGCAGCGGTCATGAGCCAAGCAGTACAACAAACCAAAGTAAATACAAAATGTGGAGCATAGCAAATTCTATTTGAGCAGAATAAAAAAATAAGCAATATAGTAGGTTAGGTGCAATCTCTCTAACAGCAAAAGCTCATTTCAGCTGTGATCAAATCCTGGTCAGAAAGGTGTCCATCACCCACAAATCTTGAACTTTCCATCTTTTTGCCCTCTCATGATTTGCCCAATCCTCTACATGCAAAGGATCTTCAACCTTGAAGGCTGCACCTAGAAATGGACAAGTCAGTTTGGAAGAAATGCACACCCCTTGTCAAATTCAGCCTTGTCATAGCAAATAGGTGACTGACCAAAAAGCTTCCTCAGTTCTTCAGTTGATACACTTCGAGGAGCACCTCTGAATTCTGTTAGATCTTCATTGTAGTAAATATATTCCATGAAGATCTTTGATCCAGAAGACAAAAGTTTGGACATGTGTGACACATATCTGGAATATAGAGTAAGAGATGACAGACTCTTCTCATTTCCAAAAGTTTTGTAATGGGATACTGATAGCCACAACTCACTCCTCCCTGTCCTCCTTCCAAATGGCCACAAAGGAGCCCCTGTCCCACACAGCTTCAATTCTGCCCAGTTTCTCAATTGGGATTTTGAATATATCGCTCTTGAAAATCTTCATTCTTCCATCTTTGCTCTGAAGCAGGGGTAAGAATGGTATTCAGAATGAAGTAAGATGTGATTATGAGAGGTCCTGAATAGCACAAGAGTCTGCCAAGAACTCACCTTGTAACAGGGAATCCCAGACTCATCAGTGCTTACATCAAACAAGAGATTATTTTCCTCAAAAAATTCCCTGATCCCCTTCTCAGCACCTTCCACCCCGACTACATTGTGGCCAAGGTCATAAAACCTTCCGTAATATGTAAAAGGAGAGAAATGGTACATGTTCAGGTAGCAGCTCTAGGTGAGTGTTAATGCACACAATACTTGCATGCAACTGACCATTTGAGTTCAGGTGCTTTTCCACAAAGGGGAAGATAAATTTGACAAGGCTTTTTCCCCTGGGTCAAAGTCTCCACATGCTGTAATAACCTGGGGTTCACATTCTTTTCCTGCCATCCAAGGTCATTGGCTTCCCATTTGTCTGTCCAAGTTTTCAAGCGATCACCCATCTAACCAGAGTCTAATTCTTTATCTTCATTCCATAGCATTATGGAAATTCTGATCAAGACTAGGAAGTATATTTTTATGCAGGTGTGTATTTTTCCTATAGCCTCACAAGAATGGAAAGAATCAAAATACAGTCGAACTCGGTTATAACGTCATCGAAGGGACCAGGTAAAAACCGTCGTTATAACCGAGGTTGCCTTTATTGGCACTCCGTTTTCCTGTTTTCAAAATTGATGCTATATTAACGTTATAACTCCAGTTTACATTGGTCATACTGCACTAGCTTCAGTTTCAAGATTGACCCACTTATCGTGATGTTCGCACTTCTTTGGACCTTGAACTACTTTATACTTTAGTAAGGCTTCGTCGATGTCATCTCGACAGACCTAAGAGGTTTCTTGTTTTGTGACATGTTCTCGTAAGCACGGATGAAGCTGTCACGATTTTCCAAAATTGTGGAAACAGATGAGCAGATGTCCATGTTCGCGAGCGCCGTTAGCTTTTCTTCGAGCTCTTTCTATTAAATTAATCAAGCACACTTTTCTTCCGATCGTGAAGGCTTGCCTCTTTCGTTTTCCATTGGCCATGTTGTCAACGAGAAATGCAAATGGCGACTGAAGATAAGGTGAATTTAGGTATGGGGATTATCCCCGCCCTAAACATTGCTCCAGTCACACTAACATGACTCTCAAGGAATGTCGAATCCAGGAAATATAAAGTTATGGCTCGCCAACGCTAAATTTTCCGATGACGGAAATTTCAGTTAAGAATGACGGATTAGGGACATGAACGTTGTCGATTTCGTCTGTGGGACCTTCAATGGACTTCGTTATAACCGAGGTAAATTGTAACGTGCCTTATGGGCTCTACGCCGGGACCTGGAGCTTTAGTCGTTATAATCGAGTTCGACTGTATTACAAGTGAAATGTGAATTTACAATTTCCAGGAAAAGGTTTTTATGTTGAGGTCCAGGTCATATCACAGTAACTGATGGGACACCTTGAAGCATAATAAATTATTATTATTTTCTTAAACAGCCCAACAACTTCCTGTTTTGGGGGTAGACCAGAGTTACATACATGTAAAACCTGGGGTAGAGGAGCTAGTGACCACCCATTGAAGCACAATTTCAAAATTTCTACCATCCTAAAAACCCAAGCTGGAAATTCATGATCTTGACTGCTCAATTTTTCGCACATGCCTGTTAAACAATATTGAACAATTGAGGACATGAATTTCCACTTAGGTTTTTAGGATGACAGAAAACATGAAATCATCCACAAATAGACACCAGTCTACAAACTGGCACCTCTATCCTACTTTCTATCGTTTTACTTCTCACTGGGTAGTGGTAAAAACCCCTCACAAAAATATAGTTTTGTAGTGAACACTTCAAATAGAATTAAATGCCCTGCTTTACAAATTGCCAGCTTTCAATGCAAAGTCTTCCAAGCAACCTCAATTGATGATGATATTCTGTGGGTTTGTAGCCTTTCAATGACACCTTGTTTCTTGATATTTGTGACATTTCAATCTTGATTAAATAGATACTTTATGGAATGGGTAGTACTAATTCCTTTTATATGCATGCTATAACATCTACAGCTTATATGAGATAGTTCTTTTCATTTTTAACTGCTGATTTTTTCCCAGGATTATATAAGTACAGAGTGATTTTTTATTCATGGGACCATTATACATATTTTTAATCTTGGAACAAATTGAGTTAGATCCATGAATTTTTGCATCAAGAATCCATAAACATTGAAAAGTTATACTCTATGAAAAAAAGTCTTCAATGTGTCCTTCTCTGTGCGGAATCATCGGTCGTATGGGTGATGTAATTCTGCTCAACTGCCTGCAGAATATCCCAGGATATTGAGTAGACTTCATGTTCTGTGTCCGCCTTCAAGTCTCCAAATGTGCATGGATTTAATCTTAACTCGAAGACTTTGTTCTTTATAGCCACATGGACTGAGATTGGGGGGAAATGGTGACCATATTAATCCACAGCTGTGGATATCAAGAAATCTGCTAGACAGCATTCTGGTACCAGAGTTCTTGTGCAGGAAGTCTAACATGACATTTGCTGCGTTGACAGGCCACGATCTCAATCCTTGTGACTATTTTTTCTAGGGATACCTAAAGGACAATGCTTTTGAGTCAAGATCCATGCATTCCATAGAGACCTGAAGGCAGCCACAGAATGTGCAGTTATTCCATTTTCCTGAATACCCTGCAGGCAGTTGTGCAGAATTAAATCACACCCCTATGACATGTAATTGTGCACAGAGGACACAATGAACATGGTTTTTTTTTTCAAAGAGTATGACTTTCCCATGTTTATGGATTCTTGATGCGAAATTTCAGGCATCTAACTCTATTTTTTCCAAGATGATAAGTATTTATAATGTTCCCATGAATAAAAAATCACCCTGTATATTATATACAAGCCCAATGAGTATACTCAGGCTTGGTGGTCAAAGAGTTAAGTAAGTTCTGGCAGGAAAATTTGCTTCTCAAGGACCTTCTGACAACCATATTATGTTCCTATAAGCTACCTTAGTAGGACCTTGGGATGATCCAGATGTGTACATTGTAACCCTGCACTTCCAGAGAAAAATTAGGGGTCTGATAGAGCATATTTTTTTATACTATTCCTTTTTTTTTGGCATATTTCACCCATATTTTGGCCTTTACTCCTTTACTTACATATTTTAGGACTCAATCTTAGATAAAATTCACTTGATAAAAAAAATGAAACCTCACTTGCAGAGTAGTGTGCAAGCAAATCAGGTGTCAGGGATTTTAGCACCCCCAGTTGCCTGTATCCAAAAGGGCAACTCACCTCAGAATAAAAATTATTTAGCTAAAATGAATGTAGTGGATGTCAGAGTGTATAACTGTGTAACTGCGATTCAGTGCTGAATCTGAAAACCATTGAAGGGGGACAGGAGAAAGAGAGAATAAAAACTACACCAATCCTGAATCATGCAACAAACTGCTTTATTGCATCCATAGGTTGCAGGTACCACCAATAGATACTGGATGATTCAAAACAGAAATTGTTTCTGTTGTTACCTCTGCCCTCCCAGACTAGAGTCTGTAATCCCCATCTTGGAAAGTCTTCAGGGGCATTTTGGACATGCATCAAGAATGGTTTTCATTTCTGGTTCCATGTCAGGGTACACACTACAAAATGAAATAAGCTTCAATGACTGTTTTGAAGACACTTACCAGTATCATATGATGGAACTTGTCTTTTCCACACAGTACACAAACCACAGATACATATGCATATAATCTATATGCTGGCAACATAACAGTGCACCAAATTTATATTATTCCCCATCATATGATGGGGTGATACATTGATTTGGATTGACAGGATACATTGTTAAATCAACTGTACTTTTTTCAGACTCATATATTAAGGTTCACAACTGAAATTTTCTTTGAAGCATAAGTGAATAAAGAAATTTAAAAAATCAATCTAAAGTTACACAACACCTCTCAATGCATCATAATGAGACATGAGTGCTGTATGATTTCTAACCAGAAATAATGGAACATAAAGGATGCAAAATGTGAAAGACATTTTCGGCACTTCTCTGCTGAAAACTGGGAATGTCCCCCTGTAAACAAAAAATCAAAGATCACTATCCATGCTTCTAGTATCAAAACAATAAGCCATTACTCATGGCAGACTAACAATTTTCTGCTAAAGAATTGCAGCATAGGAAATTGAAGAAGTCTGCACTGGTTTATCGTGAGTGCAGAAGTAGCACAAAAATAAGTAAAAAGTAAAAACTTGGACACAAGTGACAGCACTGACCCTCAGCTTTCTTCTTTTGTTTCAATCCAGCTTTCCCAATCTTCTTTTCATGACTTAATTTTATACTTTAACACAAAGGTTCAAGATTCTATTTTCTGGGCACTTGAGATAAAGAGTTACATCATGGAAAAAAAATAACCCCTTCTTATTCAAAGAGCAAAACAAGGGCAAGCAAGTACATCACACTTAGTATACCCAGAAAATATTCCTGTATTACTCTACTAACAGCAATACTTGAGCTATATCGCCAGTTTGTAGCATAAATTGCATGGACTATTTGTCTTGTCTGACATGATCCAGTAATTCATAGCTTTCCAAAATATACAATACTATCAGTCATTTTCTGGATGATACTAGTTTTTTTGTTGTCAAAGAGGAGAGTCTTGACTATAAATTATCAGATGCTCCAGTTCAGATTTCTTTTGAAAAAGTGCATATGAAGATGTAAAAATCTTCAAGTCTCCATCTAAGGACAATAGACAATTGCACAAATCCAATTCCATCAACTGGGGGTTACATGGTCTTCAAAGGAAGTGACTATGAAGTCCAATGCAAAAATAGGTGAACTTCCTTCAAGTACATTTTCTATTTAGTTACAAGAATCAACTTGGAAAACAGATGTCCCAACATGGACTGGAGCACATTTCAAACCTTTCTTTGCATTCTCATATTATCATGCCAGATACTGGAAGGAAGATTGCTAGAATTGGGTCTTAGAAGGCTTTTCATATGATTTCTGAGAAATCAAGATAACATAATTGCATATTTAACATAGGATAATTTTCTTTTAGAATTAGATCATTCTGCTTCAAGTGTACAAATAGTAAATGCTTGACAATCCCAGAATTCAATTAATTTTGACAGGCAGTCTGAATATGGTGAAAAAACCATGCAGACAATATTGTAGGTCTATAAAGCAAACAAAGACTGAGATACACAGGCTTAAATATTCCACCGAGGCAAAAAAACAGCTCCAAGCTTTCAGTATTTTAAATTTTCCATTATATTGATTTGATTGGTACAACTAATAATTTCTAATTAATGACAAATTTTCCAGTTTGAAGGAGAAAAAACCATGCAGTAATCACAAAATCTCATAACCACTTGGTATATTGGTTCATAAATAGATGAACTTCCTCCCCCACCCCTGAATTTGAGGTAGGTTTCACAATTTCCACAATCCCATGGGATTTACTTTTTTGAAATATTGGTTAATTTTTTATGAAATATTTTCCAACAAAATTGAGATATTAATTAAATTTGTTTGCAAGCTCTTCCCTGTTCCAGCAGCTTTAATTTGATGCACAACCAACTCTTCAGGATGAAGAGAAAGGAAGTTAGCATTGAAGGGGGTGGACATTTTTTTACTCTACAATTTCAGGCAAATTTCAACCCAACTGTATCTTAGCCCTGGTTTTTCACAAAGACCTACCTTTTTTTGGCTGAGAGCTATTCTCATCAAAATCAAATTGAATGTCATATTTCATAGAATTTTGAGAAGGTGGACCATTGGCACTCCTGGATTTACAGGTGGAATTTATGGGTGGATCATTCCACACGGATGGAATGATCCACCTATAAATTGTGTAATGGGGCTTTGTATGGGTCAGATAAGGCTACAGACAAACTCCTAGAACTCATTCAGACAACTTGTAGCCCTCCAATGTCAATGATTGTGATTGTTAGTTGTATATGTGAAGCAACCACTGATAAAAAAGGGGATTTAAGTAACACCCCATATTGAAAGTCTAGGCATATAATATTAGACATTTTTCTGCTTAATAGGCACTTTTGATGGCACAATAGATCCATGGGATACTTCAGTAAGTGAAGCTGAAGAATAAAAAGCCAAACACCACTGGCCTTTTTTTGATAATATGACTTTCACTATTTCTTTAATTTTCTGAGTTCTAGATGTAATTCTTATTTTCTTGATGCCATTGTACATTGTAGATTTACTAGAACTTGTTTGGAAAGCATTGCTAAACACAGTGTTAAAATATATCATATGGGACTTTACAACCTGAGGCAAGAATTGAACTAAAAAGGAAACTCCTCTACAAAGTTAAAATTGTTGCTGAAGCTGAAGAATGCAAAATTTGGGGGTTTTCAGCAAAAAACTATCCATTGTATCAAATTTGATCAAAGTAAGAGATAATGCTATGCTGAGGGCACCATGATTTGCTCAGAATTGCACTTTTACTTGAACAAATCATGTTTTACCTTAACTAAGAAATTACTGAACTAATCAATGAGTGAGCAAGATGAAGGATATGTGCCTTTCACTGCAGAACTTAACATCCACACAGAAAACCTCATCTATCACTTCTTCCTGAGAATAAAACTACAACTATCAGATACCACTGCTGGTACTTGAAAAGACTTCAGAAGCACAAGACCTGTCATGATGAGATCAAGTGGAGGTAGTTCTCCCATTCTGCCACTTCAGTCACTTTGAAACTTGGAACGTGATCAACCTGGAATAAATATCAGGGAATAATGGTTTCAAAGACATGGATGATACAATTGAGGAGTTTTCTGGAAAAAGGGCATAAGTGCCCATACGCCCTTTTTCCATATCTGCATCCATGCACTACTTCAGATCCTGTGGCATGTACAAATGCTAAATATAAAAATTTTTGAAACACCTGATCAGATTGCTTCTACGTCATAAATCACACTGTAAGTCATAGCAGGGTTAAAGAGAGCTCTAAAAAAAAATGTATGCACCTCATTGGACTTGGTCTACATCACAGTAGGGGCTTATGAACTTAGTACTGTACTTCTGAGAATATGGTAGCCTGCATCATCTCTGAACATGAAAGCTCATATCGATTGCTCACTATTGACCTCATAATTAAGATGCATGTTGAACTGCATTGCTAAATAGTGTGGGAAACTATTTTTAATTAAAGGGGTATCTCACTTATAACAGAGCTCTTATGGGCTGAGTCAAAATGTAGATGTACACATGCCATGAGGCATTGCACCAGTAAATTTGCATTTCAATATCCAATTAGATGGAACTCCTTCCATTAGTTTGGATACAATGACCTTGATCTATCTGAGAAGCGCTCTATCCCTCCCAGCATCAGACTGATGAAAATGAAAAAGAAGACCAGAAAGGAAACAAAGACAAGGACATTGGCAGATTCAGGGGAGTATATCCCTCATGATTGTTTCAGGTACATATTCACAGGTAGTCCTCTCCAGTTTTTTCTCTCAGTATCCCTCTCCTCCCTCCCACTCACCAGTCTCTCCTAAGATTCAGTACCCCCTCCCTGAACATTTTCTGGATCCACTGTTGGACATGGATGCACTGTGTGGCAGAAAGATGTCTCCAGCTTCATTACCACCCAAGGAAGTAATTTCTTGTGGCTCTGTTCACATACCAGGTGCTTGGAAAAGTGAGAATCACAGTATGGAAGGCCTAGTTTTTAGAAATAAATGACTATTCCATAGCAAGAGGGGTGGAGTGTTGGGGTACTGTGGTACTTCTGTATTTTTGAAATACCACCCAGCCTAACTGCTTCTATGGTCAGTGTAATGACTGTGACATGGTCAAGAAACATCTTCGAATAAGATCCTTGATTACTGGCTCCCATAACCTTCTTTTACTGTAAAAAAAAAAAAAAAAAAGAAAAAAAGCATGTTGTCAATCTTGTGCCTATGGAGGAAAACCTGATGGCATGTACACATACCATTCAATTCCTCCAATACCAAGAAGGATAAAAATACTGGCTACCTTGCTTTGCCAAAGGTGGAGCTTAGAAAACGAGCCAAAGGATTTCAAAATTAGCATGTAACTTAGCCGTGTCAGGTCTGAAGAAGTTAAAGTGACTTGTCATAGGATAGGGTGGTCAGTAGGTGGTTAAGATGCATTTTTGGAAAAGGAGAAGCCAATTTCCTTATGCACACACTATTTAACCCTTTGACTGTGAAGTTTTAAATGGTTGGCCATGCCCTCAGTGCTGAGTTTCAGTGTTGCAGTGGACCAGTATAATGGACAATTGCACTGCTGGCACAGCTTGCTACCATCTATTTTACTGGACAGCTACAGCAAGGTGGTAAATGTTCTTATGCTCTTTCAATTGACTAAAGAGCTTACATTGTGGTAATATGAAAGGAGTTCAAAAATTTCTTAGATCCCCAGTTTTCACTCTTCAACTGCAACTTTTTTGAGTTACACAACCTTCATAGTGCTGAATTTTCTTTAAATAGGCTTTCTTACTTATGGAATACTAAACAAAAGTTTGTTCATAAGTAACCCTACCTCAGTTAAGAAAAAAAACTTTTTTTTCACGAGGTGGGGGTTGGGGAAGGAGGGGAAAAAAAAAAAAGGTTTTCCTTAACTGAAACAAGTTTAAGCTTATAAGAGTTTTACATGCTACTGGTGGTTTCTTGTGGTATTGGGGTGCAAAAAATTATTATTTACATTATTTACAAATATTTTTCAAGAGTACAGTAGCTGCAAAAAATGTCATACATTGGTTACATTGTCATCACTGTCATATAATACATCTTTTTCAATTTCTTACTTTTTAATACTTCACTCCCTTCAACAGTACTTTCTTCAGATTCTCCGGTGCAAACAATGTCATGAATATCCAAATCACCTGACTTTTTTCTGCTTTGTCCATTTTCCAGCAACCGCTAACTGACACCATTTTTCAGAAGCCATGTAACCATTTGGGCAATAAAAGGATAAAACAGCTAATTTTTTAACACTAAGCACTTTAAATGAACTGCAAAAAGTTCTAGAGACAGCCAAGAGATGTTGAAAATGTTCCTTGATGAATTGAATCTGTTGAGTAAACAAGAGGATGGCGATTACAAGAGGGAAAGACTAAACGCATATATGCGACAGTAGCAGTTAAAGGGTTAACAGGCCAACTGCCTACCAATTTCAATATGGTTGGCTCCATGAAGATTCCATTAACACCTGCATTGCTGAATGATAAGGTGGAAAAATGTCATCCTTTCAAACTGAAAGTGAGAGAGAGGAAGAAACCAGACAGGTAGAAAAGGAAAGAAAGAGAAACAGTCATCCAAGCCTCTGGAAGGATGAAAGAAGTTGGAAATATCCATGAAACAATTGATCCAGATGATGAATAAATGAATAATGGATTACCGATGAGTAATTGGCAAATGAAACTTGTCCTGAATATTCACATTTTTATTGGCTTTCTTTGTGGAGGATTTTATTTGAAATCTGGAGATGAATTTTTTTGCTAGTTAGTATTTTTTACTGGAAAGAAGAAGTGAAAGAATGGCAATTGGTTGGAATAAGGTGCAGCAGTGTGGATATGGAAAAAGGGCATAACATGTAAACAGTCAGGATAAATATTTTCTGCTTGCATTCCAGCAATGAGATGCAGAGATTCATTAAACCACCAAGTTCACTTGGGATAAGGTCTAAGATACCATTATTAAGATACCAAACTGAGTTTTGACCAGCCTCAGATTAGCTTGGAGAAGTTTTTGCCTCTCATCTCAAATTTGATTATTTGCACATATGCCCCTTTTCCAGAGAACTCCTAAATTCTGCAAGCCACTGGAACTCTACCTTTATCAATAGTTCTACCTAAAAAAATGCATGTCCCTATAACTTTTTGCTACAAATGGATATACCTGAGTTTTAAGGTACGAGCCATGAGGAGCTTGTTGCAATCAGCAGGGTCTTTTAAAGGCATAGGGTTCCATGGGCTTTCTGGCTCCTCATTGGTGAAGTCATGCATGAAGACCAAGGGCTTCATCTGAATCTCACTGTATGGACCATGGACCATCACAAAATGGATCTTGACTGATGATGAAGTTTTTGTCTTTAGGGCTAGCTATGGAGGAAAAAGGAACCTTGTCAACCACAGAAAACAGTACCGCTGAGAGTTATCAGATATAGTTGAAGCTGAACTAAGATTGCAAAAATATGAATGACATCTAATGGTCATTAATGCCACCTAGACCAACCAATATCACACTGTCATGAAAGTTGTTTCAACTTAACCTGGAAGCTGATGTGTCTATCAACACTCTGAGTAGGATCCTTCTGTTCGTTGTTAATCCGTGTTCGAACCATCCATTGGTGACTATGGGCAGAAAACCTTCCTGTCTCATGAAAGAGCTTCTGGATGAAGTCCTCGGTGTGACAGGCCCGCAAGTGCAAGTCTGAAATTGAGCATATCAACAATTCTGGCCTGTGTCAAGACACGAAAACTGAATGCGTTTGTGCTGTGATGGCTTATGTTATGAGCCTTGATAAATTCTAATTTCTCCCAAACAGGATTCATGCTTGGCTGGGCTTGTCTTGGCATAGATTGACGTAGTTCCACAGAGGGTATGGAGCCTGGTGGTTTCCTTCCAAAGGAGGGAGCTTTTTTTTCTCCCCGAAGTGCTCATATTGGTAATCATTCCAAGAGAGGAACATCCCCATGCATCTTGCCTACAATGGAATTAGGGCCTATGTCATTCTACACCAAGTCAAGTCTGTGTGTGAATCCTCCATAACAAAGCTGGAGGAGGAAGCAAAATAGATCAATTAATATATTTATAAATTGGTACATTATATTCTATCAAGACATCTGAATTAATCACAGATGATAACACATGACAAAAGAGTCAAGCTAGGAATTGAGCCTAAAGATGTGAGAAATGCCACATTAAAGACAGCATCAAATAGTTGATTGTGAAGCACAATTCCGGGATGAAGGAGTGTGGAGGATGGAGCAATGTAGAAATAAGATTCTCCTTCAAAATTAAAATGAGAGGGTGCTAAAGTTCCAAATTTTTCACCAAGGAGAAATCAAGATACAAACTCACCATTGAATGTGATTTTTTCAAAAGAAAGTAGCTCAAATAAGCATGTAAGGGGTGCATATTCCTCCCGTTGTTGTTGTTGTTTCTTCATAACTAAATCCAACAGTTCTTCCCCAGATTTTTGGGGAAAGGGACAAATTTTTTTATGGTCATCAGCTGCAACATGGGGCCCATTCCATTCACAACCAAGAGGCTCATAGCAGCACAGAACTGGTCTGTAAAGAGTGCAAAAAAAAAAAACACTCCTTATGTAAGTGGGAGTTGAGGTTTCTATATTTACTCTAGTGATGCTAGCACATCAACTTCTCCTAACACCATCTTTTATAAGGGGTTATGGTGAATTTAGACAGAATGACAAACTCATTCATTACATCTCCTCACACCCCATAGAAAATCCTTACCCCCAGTTACCTTCCTCAATTTAGATGAGATTAACATCGTGCATGCTTCCTAAAGGCCTCCAAATCTAAAAAAAAAATTTTTGAAAAGGGGGAAATCAAGGAATGGACAAGCTCAGAAATATCCATCATACCAACGTGTTGTTACTTAGGCCAAACTTACCTTTGTAAACAATCAACAGTAGCATGATGATGAACTGAGTGCCTTGGTTGTTCATCGCCACAATACCGACACGAAGTAGGAAGTTCACCTATGGCTTTTTCCACAGCCAAATTTCTTGTTGGCAGGTCTGTGGATATTTTAGTGCGACAATTAGGGCACATTGCAGTCTCATCCCTCAGGCAGGCATCAGCCATGAGGTGGGTGAAGCATGCTCCACACATCAGATGACCATTGGGGCACTAGAAAAATGGAAAGACAAGCCTTTTTGCAATTACTAAGAATATTAATGTCAAGTTTTTCAATTATTTCCATATTGGGAAAATTGTTTGCTAATTAAACCTTATCCCAAAGCAGGACTACATATATTCACTGTATAACAGTTGAGTGGTGACCCAAGAAGGACTTTCTGGTACATTCAGGCATTGTGCAATTGAATCAAAAAGAAAGTGCTGATTATTACAAAAATAAAGTGCTGATTATTACAAAAATACTAGTAATCACTTTCATCCTCTCTGCATGAAGAACATTCATTATGTAAAAATTTTCATAGGATAGTACATACTCTCATTGCAAAGTTTTCATCTTTGATAATGCAACCTAACAGTAAAAAATATTTATACATATTACAGTCGACTCTGCATAATGGAATACCATTGCACATTCCTAACTTACAGTATGATACAGCAGATATTTTTTATTATTGGAACACTCCAGATGATAGAATAAATTTCTCTGGTCCCATGAGTATTCCAATATGCAGAGTTGACTGGAATGCCAAATACCTCATGCTTGAGGAAAAACTATTCCTTATCAAGAATTATGTAATACTACATCCAATTGTTCAATGGACTCTGAAAGCACACGTTTTTATGCAACTCAACATTTACCCACACATTTGACTTTGTCACTAATCCCATTGTTTGCATAAAATAAAATCTAAAAAATATTATTGAGGTTGATCAGCTTTGACAGTTTTTACAGGATAGCTTCTCCCCCCCCCCCCCTCCTTGCTCAGGCTGCTTTTTTTTTTTTAAACAAGACAATAGGCCATTCATGCCCTATTTGGCATTGGTAGCATGTATCAATATCCTGTCTTCTTACCCGTTTTTAGCATGCCATGGCAGAATATGCCCTGCTAAAACATACCTGACTGAATATCCCAAACACTATCTTTTCTCAACACCACGTATACTCATGCAAAATGAGCTGGACTTGCCAAAAATGGAAAAGGCCTGATTAACAACCATGTGCTTAGGATCCAGTGCATTGTTTCATATTTCACTTACTGCTTTGCTGTTTAATTTATTCATGGATAAATGCTTTGCCCTGAATACACCATCTTTTTTTAAAATTGAATTCACCACATATCTATTCAATGCAATTTTAATGAGGGTGAATGAGAACAAATATTGTTTGTTCTCATTCACCTTCATGTATTCACCCAGATTTGCATGTTCAGACAGCTTTAATTATAGGAACTGGGACCAAAGGCAGAATACAATTATGGGATTTGACAGAAATGTGGGTGTGAGAAGTTGTCTTTTAATGCAAGCCCCTCTACCGATCATCACCGTATTTTTGGCTATGATGAAATCCAAATCACCTGGAAATGTACACCCTCCTAGCATCCACCGAAAATGAAATCTCAGAACAATACTACCACATGAACTGCTAAATAGTAGACATTCTGAGTGAATCAAATCACCTGAGTGCTTTTAGAACCCTTGGTTTGGGAGGATAAGTGGCAGTAGGGAAGTGCTCCAAGGTCACACAGCAAATTGGAAATTCCTAATACCCTTAAGGATACCTATGTCATGGAAATAAAACTCAGAATTTCCACACCTTTCATTTCTCATTTTACTGATTGTCTCAATTCCCAAGCTCTTTATTTTTTTGCTCTTGGGGTAACTTAAAATTACAATTTGTATATAGGAACTTAAAATGAAAGAAACATTATCTGTTACCCTGGAATTCCTTAAAAGAGATGGAAAAAGGGATGGGTTCAAGCTGATGAATGGAGCTTCAATCACACTGCCTTCTAGGTATGAATTACTTCCTGCCTATTTTTTATGTTCTTTCTTCAGAAAAACATTCTAAAACCCAACCAAAATTTTATTTCAAGTTGTTAATTAGCTGTAATGTCAAGGACAAATAACTGATCATCAGGTTACCCTAACAATAAAATGTATGGGTGAATCCCCAGGTTTAGGAACAAGTGCCTGATGCATGTAATTGGTGAAATATCCATAAAATAGTTTTAAATTGTTTTTGGACCTTATGCTTATTCCATTGGGCCCCAAATGAGTGAAAGGGTCGACAAAGCCAACAAGGCAGGAAGTTTGCAAGTGCTGCTGATTTCCTTCATGCAAATTAATATCAATAGGCCCATTTGAAATGAGGAAATGCATAACTTTTAGTTACAGGAGAAAAAATTTGAATACTTTATTTAACTGATTGTAAGGCTACCTGTGAATCCTTATCCAATATCCCCTTGCTCTGAAGAATACCAACCAATACTACCATAATAGCAATTGATGGACTTCTGGTTCTGATTTTTTTTTCTTAGTCATATGGCAAGTTAGACCTACTTTTTTCCATTGAAAATGAAATTCCACGAGGATAAAGATAAAGGATACTGAAAAGCAGTCACTTCCGAAGCTCCTCATAAAATTTTGAATAAATCCCTGTCATGCAAAAATATCTATTTTTATGCATTTATGAAAATATGTTATCATGATCAAAACACACTTTGAGGACTGTCTCACTTTTTTTTGAGATGCATATGTGTATCATGTACCATACATGGACAAGGGCAGGAGGTACATCATTTGCCTGAGTTACCCAGTTTCATTAACAGAGGAGAAAATTATGTCCAATTTACATTACATAATAACCCTATTAAACTCTGGTATCATTAGAACCTAATTTAGGTGATATAATTCTTGGTATGGTAGTCCAACATGATCTGGACAGACCTTAATTGGTACATTCCTAGAGCAAAGAAACTTTGTAAAAACTTACTTTTTTTGCACCTGCATATAATAGCAGCATTGGATGCAGCTCACTCTTTTCCCACTTCAAAGCAAACAAAAACTTATTGAATTACAATGTTTCCAGATTGAATTTGTACCACCCACCTGTAGTGGAGAATGGAGGAACCACACATTTACAGAGGTTCCACTTCATCATGTGATAGACGTAACCACCCATGTGTAAGATGTCACTACCTGCAATTGATGCTAGCGCACCTATAGGGGGGCACGAATTCAATCTGGAAATGGTGTATGAGGTGGGATATGCAAAAATTAAGTTGGAGAAGGTCTTAGAAAAAAACTGCTTCTTTTTTCTCACAATTACTCCAGAACTGCTCAGAAATGTACCAGAAGGATATTGCATTTATGAGCAAGAAGTGCTTTGTAGTTTGCATTAGGCCTAGCCTACTTCCAGGGCAATTCCACATGAAGTATTTATGATAGGCCATTGAGACTGATGATGACAGGCTAGCATCATCATCATGCTGCATAGCAAGTTGTCAATCAGAAGCAGTCAATATTGGTTGAATGACCTAGTTGCTTTGGCTATTTAGTTAGACCTATTTGAATGTACCATAGGTCACCAATCCCCAACAGTGAAAAAATAGGTCTATATTATGGCTTTGGCTCAGTTTATAATGGGCAGTTGGTCTAGGTATGTTCTATTTAGACCTCAAGTTAGGCCAAAACTGATATACTGACAATAGTTAGGCCTAGGCCTGAATAATCACCTGGAAAACAGCTGAGCTAGGAAGATCCAAGCAAACTGCACAACACAAAATGCCTCCAAGGCGAGTGGCCAATCTCACTAGTTCTGTTTTTTCACTCAATTCATCTTGAATCTTACACCTTTTGGGATCAGGCTGCCCTTCTTGGAAGTTCATGATCTCTGTCTCTCTCCTTCAATCGTGGTGATTTTCGAAGAGGAGAAAATGTGATGGTTTGACACTAATACATAAGCAATTGACGCCACTGTGAAACTAACAAAAGGGGTAGGTTGGGTTTATCCTAATTGTTAAGCCTTCCCGAACTGAAGCAGGAAGTGCATACATGGGATACATGTATGCAAAGGCTTGTTTGGCCCAAGGGAACCAAACGTAGCATAAGCACCGCCCATGACACATCTCTATTGGTCCACGACATGGAAATAAACAAAGCACACGTGCTCCTCCATGCATCTCTCGAACCCTGCACTCCAACACCCTCCTATGGCACTTCCCATACATCTGTTAGAATTAAGTAAAACACATGTAGACCAAGTGCCATCCCCAACTTCGTCCCCATTCGACGTACCTATTGTAGCCTCCACAGGCTTTGGGGGTAGCAATGTATCCTGGGTGGCCACAAGGTGGTCTGAATGCGGGATGCGAAGATAATCGGAAGGTTGCGATGTACGGAGAGGTTCGTAACCCAGGTAACACAACTGATGTGACAACGTTGTATAAAAACAATAATGTTGTGTGGATGTATTATGCTGTCACCCTGATGTTTTGACAATGATGTTACGATATCTTCGCCACAACATTAGACAAGTAACAAAATGTCACAGAAAAAAAAACATGCTCATAAATTCGTAAGAAATAATTGTGACGAAGCTGTAACATTTTAAGGGTCTCTGAATATTTTTATTATTATGACAACATATGGAATGTTGTGGTTGCATTGCAGAAAATATTGGTACAACAAAGCAGGGAAAAGTTTTGGAATTCCTGGATAGACCCGTTTAAGTGAGTTACACGGCGGAAGGAGACTCCAGGTACTTCTTGCATTCGGGTCGAAAGGAACATGGCAAAATTTATTAGACTATTAGAATAATACTTATTAGACTTATTAGCTCTGATATACGCCGTTTCCAGATTAAAGTTGTACCCCCCTATAGGTGCGTTAGCATCGATTGTAGGTAGTGACATTTTACATATGGGTGGTTACGTCTATCACATGATGAAGTGGAACCTCTGAAAATGTGTGGTTCCTCCATTCTCTACTTTAGGTGGGTGGTACGAATTCAATCCGGAAACAGTGTATCCAGAGGAGGTAAAGGAACTACTATGTAAATAGAGGATGACCTCTTAATTTTTCTGCGAAAGATGGGATTATTTAAGAGGTATTTCACCCTCTTAGCGTCGCTTCGAGTAAATACTTGACATGCGGCAGCACACTTGCCACTTGTGGTACAACATTTCCACAATGTTGTCCTTACATGTGCGTGTTACATGGGAAGAGACCTCTTTAATCGGCAGAAACGTTCCCGTCTATCTGTTACCAAAATGACTCCAGGAAGGTTGACTCCTTTGACTTACTCAGGGCTCTGGGTTGATATAAAAGGGTGTATAGTTAAACACTGCGCACAATTTATTATATGACATTGATTATATGACGAGGACGACACCCTTAGGGTCGTCCTCGTCCGACGTAAACCTCCGGTGGAGAACTATCATCACCAATGGTTCTCAATAGCACGCACGGTTCAGTCCGGCTGTGGCGTGCTAGCTCGGGCACCCCACACAGCACAGGTATATCCCAAAGGATCCCCTTGGGACAAGTGCGATGTCCCAGGGACAACGAGTAGGGACATCTTAGGATAATCAAAATGTCTGGGCCCAACGACATCCCAAGGATGTCCCTTTCTTGAAGAACTAGCACATCCCAGAGATGCCCCAGGGATATCCTTAATTGGGACAAGTGAGAAGTCCTAGGAAGTACTTGCGGGATTCCTTTCTGCAATGGACTCCTTTCCTATCACCCAGGTCAAACCATTACTTTGAAGAGATGTCTATTTTATATTGTAGGAAAACCTAATCTGAAGATCTCGACCAAAATTAGAGTGCCGATTAAGAGAGAAGAAAATTCTGTCCCTAAAGGATCCCAATATAGGAGACTTATCTCCAAGGGATAAAATTTATCACTCTCATACGAGAAGTCATGGACAAGAACCTTAGGCCTAATGTCCGTTGAAACGTGTGGGCTCAGGTCTCCAACCAAGTAGTTGTACCCAGACATGTCGATCAGACATCATTAATGAGAATATAACGGAATAAATTGAAATTCGGATCGCAATTTTTTTTCTTCACTTTTTTTCCCTAGTGGCAGTTTCCTGATGTACTGTACGAAAATCCTCACTCATCCTCAGGACAAATGAAATTTGATAGAAAAGATCTGAGGTTGGAGATCAGGGCCCATGGGAGACATCTACCATAGAAGGTATACACCAGGCCCGGCGCGGGAAAATGCGAGGCCCCCTGCGGCAAATACATTGGGCCACCTCTGGATTCCGGAGATTTGCCCCTCACTTCATTTTCGATTATCGAAGTTATATTGGAAAAAAAGGAAAATCACTACATAGAAAAGGAGAGGAATTTGTGCAGGTTGTCCAAAGATTTAGCGTTCGTATTCTCGGAACCTTTGCCACCAGCTCATCGATCACTTTCTAGTAATTCAATGATCTGCTGACCCTCTCGATATGGTATCGAGGTATGGACCTCTCGGTATGGCTAGTCCTCAGGCGTTCTTGTGACATGCTTGATCTTAGATAAGGTATGAATTGTTTCTGTTTCCAAAAAGAGTAGCTTCTTTCTGAAGATGCGGCTCTCAATGGAGCTGTGAGTAGCACTCCAAGAGCGATGGACACGTTAGGATACACAGGCCTGGCTACTCTTGTGAATGAATCGCGGAGTTGCAAGAGCATCAAGTGGCTCTGGTTGAAGCATAGCCAGACTGCGAAGCTCATCGACAAGGTCGTGGAGTTGTTGAAGTTAACCTTGGTAAATGGTGTCTAAACGTTGCACGGGTACCATCGATTAGGGTTGCCACCCGTTTGTAATTAGTATTGATAGTACATATTCCAGACAGAGTAGATACTGCAAACTGGTATTAATATGGACACTTTTGTCCATATTATTAACTTGCTGAGATTTTTTAATTAATAAAGCTTAATAGCAGCTAATACGGCTATTTTCCGCAAGTCAAAAGCAATAGGCCACACTCTCATAGTATCGATTGGCGCCTTGACTTAAGGTGGTTCTGGGTATTTGCGGCATAGCCCCATACACAAATATACTTCGAATATTTGTGCATATTTCCATGCGTCCACGTTTTGTTGAATTCAAACGTTGCAACTTTATCAATGACTCGATAAAGAATAGACATTTCACAACATGATCAAGGGAGACGAGAGAGGGAACGGGATGAAAACGAGGTAGACCCTTTCACGCGGACGTCTCTCTCACCTCCTGGAGTGCGTGCATTCAAGCGCAAGGATTTCATGCGGGAAGGATGGAGGAATTAAAATATTATAATAATAAATACTTTCCATGCATTGGGGCGGTGACGGATTTCGCCCAACTCGGCCTTCTCGCCTGTCCAGAGTAGGAAGACCTAGGAAATATTCTCCGTGGATTGGATCTTCTTTCGGAATAACTCGTAGCGTTTCAAAATGTTTTCTCTTTTTCTTACGTTCTTCCTATCTAACTTATTACTTATTTCTTCCTCACGGGGCTGGGGCCCCTGGATTCTGCAGAGGCCCCCTGCGGCCGCAGGGGACGCAGGGGTAGCAGCTCGCGCCGGCTGGTATACACTGACAAGGCGACGAAGAGCACAGAAGATGCCTAAAGACATCCCTAAAGGGCCATGCACACTGACTGCGAACAGCTGCGTTGCGACCACTACGACCGTCGCAGTTCGTTGCAATCGGTCGCATTGGAGATGCGTGGGACCTTTGCAGACGGTCGCAGTGCACTTCACAACAGAATCGGACGAGTCAATTCCTGTCGCATCTTCGCAGTGGTTCGTGCTGCGTATCTATTGAGTGCAAGTTATGAAATCCTTCGATACACATGAATAGTTTGGCGGCTCTTTTGGTGGAATGACTTCGACGGTTGATGATGCCAATCATCACCATTGATTCTCCACGAACGTGATACATAGTTTAAGTAGATAAATATCCAAGAAAGGTCTCGATATCAATTATATTTCTGATTATTTTCCATCGTTTCAATTCATGAATTTTTATTTAATTTTTTAAGTTGAGAAGCTCTTGTTCTTCGAGTGCAGAACTTGAGTTGTCCTCTCCTTCAAGAGAGTGCTGCATGATTTGTACGTATTTGAGATATACAGAATATTTGTATGGAGTATGCATTTACCGAAATCAATGTCACTGCCACCACTTGCGCAGGGAAATGCTGGGTCGGAAGTTTGTGTCCTGTCCTCTCTTCCAGCAGATCAAGAAGGGTCTTCAACAGCTCAAGAGACATTCTCACTGACACAGGAGAAAAACACTCTTTGTCTACGGTGATAATCGTTTATTCTGCACTCAGAAAAAAGTGAGCGATATCCGAGAAAGGGAGCGAAACTGGAGTTGGCAGTTTTAACTCCCTAAAAACGAGGAAGTGCAATCGATAACTTCTTCGTTATAAGAGCAAAATCCATGTTTTTAAGAGCGCGAAACGAATGCGGGAGGGTACTATTCCAACAAGTAGAAAAAGTTAGTGGTTGTTCTCAGGAAAGAGAGAGGTCAGCGACATTACTTCCATGTTTTTTGGGAGTAAAACCGCTAACTCCAGTTTCGCTCCTTTTCTCGGAAATAGCTCTCTTTTCTAAGAGTTTAAGGCCTCGAATTCTCCCATCTGATGACGGGGTTTGCGTACAGGACGTACCTACCTACCGTACCTACAAAAAAAAAAACAAGATTGTTGCAGCACGAGCTCTTAAATTGTACACACCTATATTTGATTTCGCTTGGGAGCTCTGCGACCAGTGTGGATGACGCTTCACAGACGGTCGCAGTGCGGCTTTGTCGCAACACTTCGCAGTCAGTGTGCATCGGCCTAGGATGTCCCTAATACATTTTCCTTAAATATCGACAAGCGTTCGACTGAAGATGTCCCATGGTTTTTATAGGATATCCTGAAGACAAGTCGTCCAGTTGGGGACATCCCTAGGATATCACCGTGCTGTGTGGAACGCTACCCCACAGGCACCGGCCGTCCGTCCACTTACGATGCTTCTCAGCGACTCGTGGTCGAGAGCGTATGAAGGGAAAGTGTGGCTGTTGGCTCTTACGTGAGCGTAGGAGGGAGGAGGTTCTTCCCTCCGTAATTGTTATGTCATCCCTTGCGAGGCTCGAGGAGGACTCCACACCATGAGCACCCATCGAATGGATTGACAGACCAGCGTGATGATTCCTCTTTTCAAGAATGGGAATTGGAGGGAGTGCACCAACTACTGTGGAATCACTCCTCCTCAACATACCTTGTAAGTTCTATGCCAAGCAGTGTTAATTTAGTCAGCACATTTTAATTTAGTCATCGTTTTAGTCTTTTCGACAAAAATCGCCAACAACTTTCTCGAGTTTTAGCCACATTCATTTGTGATTCGTCAAATTTCGTCACCATGCTGGTCGTCCTTTTCTTTCAGTTTTCGTTATTTCTTCA